GTTTAACACTTATTGAAATTTTAAAAATTTACAAGTTGAAGTTAAACCGAGGTCATGTTTAACACTTGTTGAAATTTTAAGAAAAATTTACAAGTTGAAGTTAAACCGAGGACATGTTTAACACTTGTTGAAATTTTAAAAATTTACAAGTTGAAGTTAAACCGATGTCATGTTTAACACTTGCTGAAATTTTAAGGAAAATTTACAAATTGAAGTTAAATTGAGGTCATGTTTAACACTTGTTGAAATTTTAAAAATTTACAAGTTGAAGTTAAACCGAGGTCATGTTTAACACTTGTTGAAATTTTAAAAATTTACAAGTTAAAGTTAAACCAGGGTCATGATTAAATGATGGAATGATATAGGTTTCATCACCTCAGGATGCCGAGGTAATAGAACCTAGGGGGCAGTTGTGGGGACATAATTTTTGAATGACAACACGTGGCTGAGGTGTCACCGAAGTGTCAGCCGAGGTGCCATGTGTCCTGGTCATGACGCCGAGATCATCTCGGCTAGGCCGAGGTTATCTGTGAAGATACCGGAATCCAAGATAAGCGGATAAGGGACAAGAGTCCTAGAATGAGAGAGGACTTCAGTTTGAGTAAAGATAAGACTCTTAGAGAGTTTATCCCAATCCTACTGGGAGTCCCAGAATAGCAGTAATCCTAAGTCCATTGAAGCTATCCATTGAAGTTAGGCTTCTATTGGGATTAGGTTTGTGTTGGCTATAAAAGAGAGGCACCTTCATGGGTCTAAGGTATGCTTTTTATGCTCTGAATAGTGAGTTAAGCACTTTTGCTATCTTTGAGAGATAACTGACTTGATCGTCGGAGTGCCCCCGGGTGGACGAACCACCGCTGGAATCTCTTCTTTTTGTGACAGGTCGTTCAGGCTTAATCTATTCTGCCAGTGTTCTCTAGCTGAGTGCTTGATTGGCAGTGTAGTCGAAAATTGACACACACATTATGAAACATTGCAAGTTTCATTAATTTTTTTTTATTGAATTTGATACACTTCTCTGTTTTTTTTGATGAATAAATGTCATACTCTTCTTAAAATAATATTTATATTTTTTGTTCAATGATTTCTCTAATTTAGATAATTCAGAATTTAGATCTAGTCCATTTTGTTGAAAGCTCATGAGGTTGTCTACAGATTTTTAGGAACTATTAGGGGATGAGTTTGGAATGGATGTGACGAGCCTTGGATCTATTGTCTGTGATTCTGTCATAACGGCTCTCTTATACTGGCAAGGAAATAAAGGTTTTTGTTGCACCAGCTGATAAAGTAATTAAGGTTTTTCACTTTGATTTTGATTTTCGTTTTGTTTTCCTGGGAGATCTCTCTAAGCTTTCCTTGACAAATATTAATACAAATGCTATGATTTTATTGAAAAAGACTAAAAAAATAATGCTTTGTGTCCATATGAAAGACTGCATCCTTTAAAGCATGCATTAAATTTGTCGACGATATTCAGGGCATAGCAAAATGAAAATCCATCAAAAATTTGATATACATGTCATTTAGCTTCAGGTTAGGTATCCGAAGTCTTGCAATATATTAACAGTCTCTCCTACTTACAAGTTAGTTTTATGTTATCTTAGAAAAACCTCCAATTTGGACGTCTAGTTTGAAGGATATGAATTTCTTTAATATAATTGAGCATATAGCTGTTGATAGAGGAGAAAGATGAAAAATGATTCATGTAATCGACTCACTTGATTGGAACATAAGGCTTAGTTTGGTTAGTCTAAAGGATCTTCTTTCTAAAGAACGTTAATAGCCTAGTAGGATTGTTAATAAAGTGTCAGTTTTACTTTCTTGAATTATCGGTGCCTTGATTAACACTAATATTTCTTAAAAAGGTCTATTTCATGATGTTATCCTCTAAATTGATTCCAAAATCTGCTTGATATTATTCTTTAGAATTCGTTTTGATCGTCCTTCATATTGACAACAACTAATTTATTCACTAGGGTGATGCAAAATAAGTTGTTTGTACAGTGAAATTTTCAGTCTAGTATTCCATCATGCATGAGTTGTCGGTAGACAAATCAACATACAAGCTTAACAATCAGATAAATGCTGATTCAGTGTTTCTATTTGAGCTCACCAGGTATACTATTATGGATCGTAATGGAAGTCTCACTTGAAGGATCATGTGGAATACAACATATGAAGATCCATGCTACTGGCCATAGTTCAGGAAAAGTCAACACAACTAATAAGTAAACAAAACTATTGTTTCAGTAATGTAGATAATTTGCATATAGCAAAAGTTGTTTATGTGCATACTATATTAAGGGCTAGTTTGGCAATCTTTGAAAAAGTTAAAAAGTAAAAAAGTTACTAAAAAAGTTAAAAAATTATCACTATTCATCAAAAAAATAATATTAAAAAAATAATATACAAATATTAATATAAATGGTAAATTAATATAAAAGTTCAATCCGACCAACCCATCACCGTACAGACACGTCAGCCACATGAAATGAAAGGAAAAACAAAAAATAATAACATGTGTACATTCACTTATTTACATGTTAAAGTTGGGCCTGTAGGAGCCCACCATGAGTCTCGTTTTGATAATCCGAACCGTTTAATATGTAGAACTTGTCTAATACTATATGGATGTAAAAAATCACGTCTATCGGATATCGTTAACTATATGATCATATCAGTTTTGTATAAAAATTGGATGGTCTTATAGTTAACAGTTGACAAAGAAAACTAATACGATCAGATAGTTATTGATATCCAATCAACGTGATTTTTTACAAGCATATAGTACTCGATGAGTTCTACACATTAAACGGTTCCGAGTAGAAAAAGGGGGCCCGTGGTGGGCCCCCACGGGCCAAACAACACCATTCAATCAAAGCCTGAGAAGTAGACAATATTTTCTCATCTACTCAAACAGCACCACTGTCATTCCGTACGACTGCTACCCTATCTTCTCCTACACACTTATTTATACAATTTTTAATACATATTTTTTTCATAAAAAGTCAAAAAGTTAACTCAAACATCCATATTTTTTTCCTCAACTTTTTGCGTAAGGATCCTCTATAATGGTTTTCTAAAGTGATCTCCTGAATTGATGAAAGGATGTGCGACACGTGTCCCACTCAACCTCCAAGGACTGAGATTTCAATTCATCAAAACGACGTAGTTTTAGTGAGTAAATTGAAAAAGAAAAAAAATCCTTGTTCTGGGTTTTTTCTCAAGTTGTTCCTAGAGAGAGAGAGAGAGAGAGAGAGAGAGAGGAGGGCGGAGAGAAGAAGAGAAGAGGAGGCTTTTCAAGTTGTTTCTGGGTTTCTTTTTGCCTTCTTTGATTTGGTGTGTCTTTATTATTTACAGTTTAAATCTTTTTACAGTTTAAATCTCATATTCTCTCAAACCCCTGTTTTTTTTTCTTTTTTCTTTTTTCTTTAAATTATCAAGGTAGTTTTTCATTCTGATATCGATTGGGGATAGTGTTCAATGGGTTTCGTCGGTGGTGGGGAGGTAAGGCGGAAAACTCCTTCATTGGTGGGTTTCTTGCTCAACCCCTCCTCTCTCTCCTTCACCTCCTCTCTCTCACTTACAGTTATGTTCAAATCAAAGAAGGGAAAAAAGGTTTAAACTGAAATTAGTTGAAAACCCAATTCAAAATGCAGTACAAAATGAAAACCCAAATCTTGATTTTTGTCAGAAAATAAAAAAAAACGAATTGATGACCGAATCTGGGTTTGATTTCAATTTTTCAAATCTGGAATAAAAAAAACAAAAACAAATTGATGACCCAATCTAGGTTTGGTGGACGTGGATGAAAAACTTGCAGCGGAAAATGGTGGAGATGGGGCTTTTATTCTTTCAAAATTGACGACCCAATCTGAAAGTTTTATTCTTTCAAAATTTATTAAGTGTGTTTTAAGCAAGATGGGGCTTTTTTTAATCAATATATGGATGAAACAAATGGTGGAGATTTACATCAAACTTGCTGAACTAGAAACAAAGAGAGAGGTTTGATGTGAAACAAATTGATGTCCCAATTTGTTTTTGTTTGATTTCAAACAAAAACAAAAACAGAACATATGGAAATTTGAATATGTTGGGTATGTTGAAGTTTTTTTGAATCTGTTGGATCTGTTGAAGTTTTTTGACCAACTACTTCTTGGAGCTCCTTCTTCACCCTCTCATCTGTCTCTCCTTTCTCATGGCTTCTTGGAGCTTCTTCTTCACCCTCTCATTTGTCTCTCCTCCTTTCTCTCACTCTCTCTCACCTTCGTTGTTGAATGACTGAGAAACGAAGGGAAATTTGATTTTTATTTTTTTATTTTTAAATTTACTCACCAAAACGACGTGGTTTTGGTGAGATTTTAATAGTAACCCTTGCTTCTTCTAGTGAGACAGGTGTCGCGTTCTGCTTAATTCACTTTACCAGATCACTGCAGGGAAACACTCTAGAAGATTCTTACGCCAATTTTTTAATTCAAAAAAACAAAAAGTATACTTATTTAGGATACCTCAAACAACCCCCAAGTCACTATTCAAGAAAAGAGATATAGAAAGATAAATGAGATGTGTAGAGTACAGCTTGCTATGAAACTGGATTGCACGGTATATGGTTTGTCTGAAAGATGGTAGGTAATTTGTATAGAAGACTTTCGATTGGAATTATATTTCTAGTCCTTTTCTTCTCTTTTCTTATTGTTAGCTCACAAGTTTGATTGTTCTTCCTTTACTGTAAGTTGCCTTAAGTTGAGCGCCGGCTACATTTATCATGTTTGGGAGATTAATTTTGCTTTGCTGCCTTTTGTTTGAAAGGATCACATATCTTTCATTAGTTTTAGTTGTAACGTCTCTTTTTATTGTCTCTTTTTTTTTAATATTTTTTTTTCCTCGGAGATTTATGTATAGAAATGCTTTTGGTTTTGCTGCATTCATCGTATGCTACATTGACAACTCTGCCAAAGTTTCCCTGAATTGAGAACTCGCATCTTTGTTCCGTTTACTCATATGATTGTGAAAGTTCAAGATTTTAACTTCGAAATGAGCGCAACAGAAGTATGCAAGTCAACAGCCTTAAATCATACCATAATCGAAGATCACATCAATGCTTTGGAAACAGGGGAGATAGAAACAAACCCTAGTATCACAAATTCAACTGCCTCTCCAATCTTAAAAAAAAAAAAAAAAAAAACTAAGAATTTCCATTCCTCATGTCAATGTTTCTTACAGGACCCTTGAACCACATCCTAGCATCCAAAACCCACCAAAGCATTATAATCGTCAAAGCAACACCAAGAGCTATTGGTGCATAGTTGAAGGTGCTCCATGTAATTGGGTAGACAGTTGGCAACAAGAATGCTGAACAGGTATAGCATATCCACAACAATGCCACCAAACAAACGGGCCTTCTTGCTTTTCCCAAGTAGAACGGGCCGGGCTTGAAATTCTCCTCTGCCATCATCATCCTCGCGAAAATTGGGACAGCGTAGCTACCGACCCACCCTATTGTGCTTATGGAGATGATGGCATTGAAGATCACATTGATTTTTAAGATGGGGAGGCCGAGGATGGCGGAGATGACTGCGCAGAACCACACTGCATTTATTGGAACCTTATGCTTGGGGTGAATTCTTCGCCATATTGGGGAAAATGGGATTCCGTTATCCCTGGATAATGCATAAACCTGGAAGGAAAAAGAGACAGTTTGTTGCTTGTAACCAAACATAGCATAAGAGTGTGGAATGGGAAGAAAACTATAGGCCCATATTGTGCCCATATAATTGATAAAACTAAATTTTTATGAGAAAGGAAAGTAGTAAGTAGGAGAGTGATTGAGAAAGGAGCTAACTGGTTCTTGGACCTCTCTATGGCTCTATTTGCATCATGGATTCATGTAAAAATTTGAAAAGAAAAAAGAAAAAAGATGAGTGAAATATAATCATATTTCATTCACATTTTATCTATTTTTTTTAATTTCTTTTTCAAATTTCTATCTACATTTATGATTCAAGTACAGTCGTAGAAAGATCTAAGAACCAACAATAAAAAAAAAATGTGAGTTAAACGTAATTATATTTTATTCATATTTGATTATATTTTTCTTTTTTTTTTAAATTTTTACCAAAACTAATGATTCAGACGCAACCCACAATAATAAGTTTGTAAGGTGAGAGTGGGGGAAAATTCTTGTATGCTATTGGAGAGAGAGAGAGAGAGAGAGAGACTTACAACCCTAGCAGCACTGGTGGTGACAGAAAGGCCACAAAAGAAGAAGGAACCCCAGATGATACAGAGGAAAACAACAGCTCCTGTGGAATTGTGATACCTCCCATGGAATGCATCGTAGATGATTTGAGCCGGTACGAGCGCCCCTGCTGTCTCGTTGTTCACATCATACAAGTAATTTGGGTCCTACTATCAAACGATTTAATTAGAATAAATTACAAATATATTTTTCTTGTTTACTTAAAAGTCACTGGCTCCCCTCCAGTCTTAGATCGGACTGGAGGGTGCTGTTGGATCCATGGAGGTCTATCACGAATTCTATTTTGATAATTTGAATCGTTCAATGTGTAAAACTCGTCGAGTATTATATATTTATAAAAAATTATGTTGATCGGATATTAATAATTACGTGATCAAATCATTTTTTAATAAAAAAAATGGACAGTGTAAAAAAATAAAGAAAACTAATCATTTGCTAATTTCATAGGCTGAGGAGTGGTATTTGAATCCCGAATTTATACATTATTAGTTCTTAATAAAAGAAGAAGAAGAAAAAAAAAAAGGGGCTTAACCTTTAGGGATGTACCTTGATGCTGAAAGTAAGAGCCAAGTTATATGCCCATCCAAACACAGTGATAATACCAATGCTAGAGAGAATAGCAAGCGGTCCAGTTCTATCAGCTCCTTTGGTTTCTTCAGTCAAATGAGCAGCAGTGTCATAGCCATATAGACAATAATTGCTTAAGAGTACAGACATAATCACTGCATAAGGAATGCTTGAAATGCCAGTGTCTTGAGGTGCCATTTCAAAATGTGTGAACACATAGGCAGCTGGTTGTATTGGATGTGCCACCAGTGGAAGCATTATGATCACTACCAAACCACCAATGATCTGCCAATATGTTAACTTGTCTCAGATGATTAACTGACAAAGCCATATGTCGATACTAATATATAAATGGTGATATTGTTAATTAAAATTATACTAGGCATGATCGTAGGAGTCTCTATTTATTGGAGAGTCGGATAGAAGGAGCTTTCTAGACAGGCAGGGGTGAAGGCAGTGTGTGCCCACTGCCCAGGGGGGCACGTCTCCCACCCCCCTCCTCTCAAGTTTTGATAATTATATTGGTACCCTTATATATATAAATTATATCATATATATCTTTCATAAGATTAAATAATATCCGTTCTTCAAATTATAATAGTCCCTGTATTATAAATTTTATTTCTAATTACAATGAACCTACTAAAATGAGTCATTCTATTATACATCTCCAAAAAGGGTGTACCATATGTTAGTTATTACTTTATGGTATTGATATTATAAATTTTCATAACCAAATTATTTTCATTCATAACTAAAATGACTATTATATAAATTATAACCAAACAACACATCTTCAATTAAAACAAAAAAAAAAAAAAAAAATTATAATAAGTCATAATTAATATCGGAATGAGGCATTACGAATCACTACTTGATGTATAATCAAAGCCCTACGCTCGAGCTCACAACACTGCACAACAAGATACTGGATGGATGTAATCTACGCTCGAGCGCCAACACCTCCGCTCGAGCGTACAGGCCAAAAATCTGGGCAACTAGTTTTGGTTTCTAAACTCAACCAACCTGTAACAAACCCGCTCAACACATCCTATAACTCAAATACAAAGTAAGAAAGGACGTAAACAAGATAATAAACAACTACCAACATCCACGGACACATGCCCGGATCACTATACAACAAGGGTAAACCCGGGATCGCTATACTCCTTCTATTATACATCTCCAAAAGGGTGTACCATATACAAGTTATGACTTTTGGTGTTGATATTATAAATTTTCATAACCAAATTATTTTCATTCATAACTAAAATGACGACTATATAAGTTATAACCAAACAACACATCTTCAATTATAAAAAAAAAAAAATAAATTATAAACTAATATCGGAATGAGGCATTACGAATCATTACTTGATGTATAATCAAAGACCTTTTCAATCATAACCAAAATAACAACCACAAGTTTGGGAAGACTAAATAAGTGCACTTTTTGACTTTTTATGAAATATGGGTTGGGTTTGGGTTGGGTTTGAAGTGATGTATTAGAGAGGTGATGTGACTTATATAAGATGATGTGACTTAAATAGGATAGTGACTTTTTGACTTTTTGTCTTTTTTCAATCTTTCCAAACTAAGTTATATCCAACATTATAATGGGTTATAACTAAAGACCACAAAGATCATAACTGCGACATATGATAGATATTTTTTTTGCGGTGCTTATTATAGAATTTCTCTACTAAAATATATCATTTTTATCTCAACTTATCTTCTTTTTTAATATTTCAATCCACCTAAAAGAGTTACTCCACAATATTTGTATAAAATTTAACTTCAAATCCTTTAATTTAAAATTCACATCTATCCAAATAAACTTTTAATATTTACGTTTAGTAATATCTCATTGTTGTTTATTACGAGGAAAAAACAAAATCAGTATTGTCATTAATTTGTGCCTCCTCTTCACTGAATTCCTGGCTCTGCCCCTGTAGACAGGCTCGACAACACGGTGGAACTGCACACTGGAAATCTGCAGACACTTCATCAAGACAGTGACTTCGGCCATAGCTTAATCCTAGCTTTACCAAAGGGGTAGTGTGGCAAAGAGTCAGTGGCTCACAATTAATGGATATAGAGTATTGCCCTAGAACGTCAACCCAAAAATTCAAACCCATGTCCCTTCCATTATCAAATCACATGGGAGTAGCCCTCCCAAACACTATCTAGCTATACTACGTATCAAAAAAAGAAAAACAAAGTCAAAAATATATTTAGAACATGAATTATTGATGTGAGTACCTGCCACGAAATGGAGAGAATGTGGAGGTAGGCAATGAAATTCAAAGCGAAGCAGTTGAGGACAGCCCAGATGAAGATTAACAACAAATACAAACCCAAAAACACACTCTTTGGTGCAAAGTATCCCCCTCCCTTGTTTGTTCCTGTCCCCAGTAGTATTATCATCTGCAATGCCTGTGCTCCTGAATATGCCTATTTATCACAAAAAAATGTGTATATAAAATGTTCTCAGTAGGCAAACAGTTTTGCTAGGAACAAAAAAAAATCAATGGAACACAAAATACATATGAATGTACAAAATTTGTTAGTAGACTCCTTTTTGAAAAATCTTATTCATCTGTATACATTTTGATGTGAAGGAGTATAGAGCACCCACCTGAGCACTGATTCCAGAGATGACGCCGACAGTCTCGAGCCATGCACAACACCATGATGCAAATGGTCCCCATCTTGGTCCAGCCAAAGAAGCTGCCCAAAAGTAGAGCGAACCTGTTGTCTACGTTCAACATGTTTCAAATTTCCAAAATCACATTGATTTGGTAATCAGGAAGTATAAAAATACATCAATCAAATACACAATTAGACAAAAAAGAAACATAGATGAGTAATGTACAAATCAGTTTACTATCACACCATTCTTGTAATGGTATATGTCCATTCATTTAAAATCAAAAGGTCCATTGAAGTGACTTATAATTTACTATCACACCATTCTTGTTGAATTTTTTTGTATACAAATCAGTTTCCATATTTTAATTTTTTTACTTTTTTTTTTTTTTTTAATAAAGTCCTAAAAATACTTCAGCTTCTGTTAATAAATTTAGACCGCATGAGTACTGCGATCATTCAAATTTACATTTTGTAATGCAAAGAAGACTATAAATTGACAAAATTAAAAAAGTAATCAATAAGATGCAACATAGGTCATACTTTAAAAACCATTAGTTTAATTAGTCCTTTTTAAGACAACCCATCTTAATGAAATAGTTCTAAACTGTTTTCAGTCATACAAAATCCAGGTTCATAACAAAACAAAAACACTTTAAAAACATTGTACTGTCAAACATACTATCTTTATTCAATTTGAAACATGTGAAAGGGAAACAGAACATGAAAAGGAAAAGAATCTAAAAGATACCATAGGGTCCCAAAGAAATTGAAAAATTGAGGCTACCATAGATTATTAGAGCATCATATGGAAATTGATCTACAAATAAAATTGTTATACAAAATTTATGAAGGATGATATGATAATGACATTTTTATAAAGGAAAACCATTCTGATGGATTTTTGATTTTAAATTGAGAAGACATAAAGCTGTCATCATTTTGGATAAAGTTTCCCTATGAATTTTTTGTTTGTATATTATTATTCCATTATAAGTTTAGAAAACACAAAACTCAAACATAAAATGGGACACTGAAATAAATGAATTGATAGGATTTTTGAGAAGTAGGCCCTCAAATAAATCTGGTGTGTTTGATTTTATATTTAGTTTCTGAGTTTCTAGTATTATTGATCATAATTATGCAAAAAATGTAATAGGAAGAGAAAAGAAACATACTGGGAAGGAAGAGCATATTTCAGCCATGGCAACTCCAACAAACCAAGTGAAGAATGTGACCACAATCCATCCCCATATTAAGGTTGCTGGACCTGCATATAGCAGACTTTGTCCATACAGTGGTGTTCCGGTAAACACTGCCATGCTTGAGAATGTAATTGCAAGTGTTTTGAAAAATGTCTGCAACAAACCAACCAAACAAACAAAGACTCTTTATCAAATATTTCTAGCTTTGGATCACTAAAAGAACCTGATAAAAAATAGTCAAAATAACGCAAAATTTGTAGACAGGGACATGACACAGACATGCAGACATAAAATTAAGTGAAGATATGGAGTTGACCATCTCTCTTCTGAGTTCTTGCTTGTATCCGAGCTCATTGAGACGCTTCTCTCCCGAATCCATTTCCAGAACTTGCCAATTGACAATTGCTTGTTCTTCTTCTCTTGAGCCCATACCTAAAATGTTAGCAAATACAACACTACGAACTAACTAACTGATCAATTTTGCCAAGGAGAGGGAGATAACAATTGTAATCTTATATATCTTTCCAAGAACTCGAGGACTATGATGTCAGGAGGACTGGTGAGTTTGAATTAGCCAGTCACATTAGTCAAGCACCCATTCTGGAAGATGAAATTTAATGTTTTCACAAAGAGAGATTAGAGACCTAAAGGTGGAATGTGAAAGGAGTTTCTTCATACTATTTAAAATGCAAGTTGTTTTGAAATATAGTTCTTTAATCCAAACAGTCAAACTTATTTTTCAAATCTATGTTGTTTCATGAAATCATGTTTTCAATATAACACTTTATAGGGTTGAAGTAATATTTTCAAAAAAAAATAACTTCAATTTTTATTTTTATTTTTATTTTTAAACAGAAAAATGAGTTGAAGTTTCATTTCAAAGTATGAGTTCACCAAATAATTAAGGTTTGAAAAATAAATTCAAAACTATCTGAATTTGAAAATTTTGATTTAAAGTCACTTGCATTTGGTCAAAAGACCTTGTGAAGAAAAGTTCAAAATTTATAAAGTAGTGTTAAGTATGCCCAGAAAAAAAAAAAAAAAAAATTATACAACATAGTTTCAAATTTATTTTTAGTATAATTATAGAAAAATTTTAGTTACATTAATTTTTTTACATATAATATTATTGAAATTGGTAAATATTATAAGAAGGATCTCTGTTGCATCTTTGACTCTCTTGGCTCGTTTCCATCTCTTTTGATTGTCTTTAGTTGTTGAGGTCAAATTGAGGGTGTTAACCTTAAAGACAAAAGAAGTTAAAATATTTGGTTTTCAGTTGGTCCATATGTACTGCTAAAGATAACAATCCATTTTAAACGCTCGCTTGACAGTTCCCAATTCCCACTTTCAACTTGACAGGAAATGGCCTTGCTACGTTGTTTAAGCTATCTGTTTGTCTTTCTTTTCTAAAAAGAAAATTTGGTCAAAACCTCACTATTGGATCCTTATTCGGTGAAAAGGACAAACAAATTTATTTTTCTTCATACCCATGAGGAAAAAATACATAATTGAGTAAGGACAAAATAAAATATATATTTTTTCTTTCTTAGATAATATTGTCAGAGTAATATGTTACTGTCAAATTACTGACAGATAGAGTAATTGTCAAATAGGATAACATGTCACTATCAAACAAAGTAGCATGTTACTGTTACTGTTTATATCAATTTCAACAGTAATAATTTTTTTTTTATAAAGAATTTCATAGTCAACATGAATTTTATTTGATAAATCTTGATGAGAGAATTATAAAAATATTAATTTTATTAAAAATCAACATCTGCGTTAAAATGTTATTTTAAAATTTAAAAATTTGATAATAGTAATATTTATTGAACTTTTCAAGGAAGACTTTTTGTACTTGTTCTTAATGTATTAAAATTTTATTATGAGGGGGTTTTGACCAAATCTCCACTACCGCCGCAAAAGCAAAGGTAACGCGTGGTGCCTACCGACGCAACCGTTACATAATGTTGCATTTTGAAACTTTAGGTATAACGGTGTTTAACGGACCGTTACGGCTATTGTGGTACCGTTACGACTGTTATGTAATACCAAAATGGCCGTTATACATGTGAATTTCTGTCACATCGCTATAGCAGCTGTAACGGGTGGCGGTAACAATCACAACTATTACGTTACATAACGGCGTTACGTAATAGTTGCGGCCGCTTTTTAAAACCCTGCCTGCTATTGAACCGAACTTCCTGCAAGTTTGAAACAAAATCATTGACTGCAAAGAATATCCCATTTGAATGAGCCATTGCCCAAATTGCCACTTGCACTTTTACCATTTCATATAGTTCCTCTAAGATTGGTTGTTTATAATTGAAGAAAAAATCATTTCTTCTTTTCCACACTAACCACAGCATAGCACAAGGAATAGAGCTCCAAATCTGTCCTTCTAGCTTTCAAAACTTGAAGTTTAGCCACTTGTCCAAAATGACTCCATCGATTGAGGAGCTATCCAGCTAATCCCCCACCAATTTAGCACATTGGTCCATATTCTCTACACAAAGGGACACAGCAACAATAAACCGTCCCTGGCAAAAACACAATTTGGTACTAACAGTCAATACTCCAATTCTTTGCAAAAACACAGGTGTTTGGTTATGAGTTTAGTGGTAACTCAAATCTGAATGTATTTTAGTAAAAGAATTGTGCTACGTAGCTCGAAAGAGAGGGCGCTCGAATCCCCCGAATTCAAAACGATGTCGTTTCGTCGTTTTGAATTTATTTTATTTTATTTTTTTTCAATCAGAAAAGAAGAAGAAGAAGAAGAAGAAAGAAGAAGAAAGAAGAAGAAAGAAAGAAAGAAGAAGAGAAAAAGAAAGAAGAAGAAGAAGAAGAGGCAGAGGCGGGGGCTGCGATGATCAGAGGCAGAGACGACGGCGGGGGGGGGGAGGAGGCGACGGCGGCGGAGGCAGAGGCGGAGGCGGGGCTGCGACGAGCTGCGACGATCGAGCGGAGGCGACGGCGGGCGGGGCTGCGCCGACGAGCTGCCATCTCCTCTTCTCCTCTCTTCTCTTTCTCTCTCTCTTTCTCTTTCTCTTCTAAATTTCGGGCTGTTCGGGGGGACAAATTTCGGGGAAAAAATCATTTTCCTTAGTAAAAATAAATTAAGTCGATTTGATAATCAAATTTTGTACAACATAAAGTTTTTAAGTCACAAATTTTTTACATAATTATGAATACTCAATATTGGACTTTTAACCTTTCATGATTATGTGAGTGTTTGGGAAGTTATTATTTTAGCCTTGGTTTGGTAAACATATTGGGACTAAATAAGCACATAAGGACAAAAAAAAGTCACAAAATCACAAAATAACAAAACACTTGACTTTTGATGCAAAATTACCAAATTGACCCATATACAAACAAAAAGTTAAAAAAGCATCATTTCCAAGTGGAGGGCAATTTTGTCATTCCAATGCCAAAAAGTCAAAAAAGTCAAACAAGAAAACCAAACAAATAAAAAAGTCCCAGGCTAAAAAAGTCAAAAAAGCCAAAAAGCCAAATTTGCCAAACAACACCTTAGTAGACTACTTTAGTTTTTGACTATTTTAGTAGTCTAAAATGTTTGTATTCAGGAAGATAGTTGGATTTTTTTTATATAATTAGATGTGATGTTTGTGAGAGAAAAAGTGAAATGATTATGGATTTGATATAACAGTTTGTCTTATTAGCTATTTTAGTCTATTTTGTCTTTTTATGAATTTTAGCCCAAAAATGGGCTAAAATCTAACTTGCCAAACACCTATGTCATTGGGTTCGTTTGGGATGTGGGTTGGTTTTTTGGGTTTTTCACTTTGTAACTATTTCTGGGTCCAAAAAGCCTCGTTGGGATGAGCTTTTTGGTTTTTTGAACTTTTGTGAGAGAAAAAATGAAATGATTATGGTTTGGATGTGATATTTTGCTTTATTGACTTTTTAGCATATTTAAGTCTTTTGTGACTATTTTAGACCCAAACCACCCTAACCTATTATGCCAAACGAGTGCATTATTGAGTTGTACCACTATCACCATTTGTAATCACTGTCATCACCACCAAATTACTATCACCACCACAACCACCACCACCACAAATCACCACTATCGCTATCACTCTACTATTACTACTTTGGTTAATTTTGGAGTGATTTGGAAAGTTAGTGGAAAGTTAGCTAAAAGCTAGCTTTTCGGTTTTAACCCATTTTGAGTCACGTCACCTATCACATTTTTTACACACAAAAGAACTAAAAGTCAAAAAAAATAAAAAAAGTCAGCTTTTAACCAACTTCCTAAATTTATCTTACCTCACAACACTACCATTACAATTGTTGTGCCACCACCCACACTGTCATTGCGACCACTATCTTATCACCTATGAAGTATGGGTAAGAGTACTGGTACTAGTATTGGCACGATACAGGTATGTTGATACGATAAAATTCAAAAAAAAAAAAAAAAAATTTGAGTACGAGTACGGTTTGATACTGTACGGGAGAGAAATATTCACCTCACTCTGTATTTCCTTGCTATCAAGCTGAGATCGCTGCAATTGAACGCCGTCACACTACAAACAAACAATGGTGAGCTACTCGCCGGGTGGGTTTGCCGGAAAACCCCTTCGACGGTGAAGTTAGCTTTCTGGGAGAAGAGAGAAGTTAGAGCACTATCAAGAGAGAGAGAGAGAGTTCGAAATTACTTACCACTACTGCTTGGATGCTCCTCTTTTTCAAGGCTGGCCATGTAGCCTCAGAGATTGTGGGCGCAGTACCTCTGTTGTCCTTCTTTGGACAGGCGGTTTTGCTGTCCTCTACATTTCTTACACGTGTAGAGACCAAAGCCTCCAAACAATGTTTGTCGCACTGTCAAATGGTATTGACGCATACCAGAAGTGGATTCCTCTTTTCTCTTTATTGGTCCACATGGAATACCTGACCAGGCTATTACTTGTGAACCACTAGCATTATGTTGACCTCCTTGATGCCGAGTTAAATCAAACCGGTCTATTAGAAGTAAGGTGCCTGGCCAAAACCCCAACAACATCATCTAGAACAGACTGAGGGTGGGCGCGCTGCTCGTCATCTCGGCTACAGACCACGATCTCATGACCTATCCCTGTCAACGAATGTAACCCAAACTGTATACAGCTCGGCCGCCACGTGGTTCCGCTACTTGGAACCTCAACACTGGGGCAGTTTGGCTCGTCGACGTGTGCCAGTTCGGCCGGGTTTGGTTCGTCACAATATTCTGCATGGGTCTAGCTCGACCTAGTACCATATTCCGTGCCGACCGATTCGGCCCAACTATGCGCCCTAGGCTCTCCTCACACGACCCAACACCACATTCCGTATTGGTATAGCTTGGCCCACCGTTCGACACAATCTCCCTCTCAATTGCCCTTTAATCCCATTCGAGTTGAATATGAGTGGGATTACCTTTTACAATCGAGCAATCCATTTTAGCCGGCTGTTGAGACTTGTGTCGACTGTCTTGTCATCAATTAATCAGCCGTATTGACAACCCATAACTTCGATGCCATGTGACCTTCCCTGATTGGTTCTGTGTAACCCTACAGTTGTCCCCACTATCTCTGATATTCCAAAAATTGGCGCCTCTTCAGTATCACCTATATATACACAAAGGGTCAGACCTTCCTAATCACTGTTCATCTTTTTTGCA